TAAAGTTAGGAGGATAAGAAGGTTTAACGTTAGCATTACCCTGGTTATTCCAGTTTCCCCATGGCTTCGCTTGATTGTCCCCCCATTGTTGATTTCCACCACCATAATTATTATGTCAATTAAAATTAGGGTGGTTTTTTCAACCTGGGTTATAATAGCTAGAATATGGGTTATTAGGTCTATTATTAATTGCATTTAAAGTCTCAAATGATGATTGAGAATCAATCATATGTCCTAATGAGTTTTCTCCAATCACATGAGTTGTTTGAGTTAAGTTCATTCCAAATTGTTCTAACTTCCTAGATATCGCAACAACTTGAGATGCCAAATTGAAATTGCATTAGTATTATGAACACTGGCAATTTTCTTAGGATTTGCCCTTTCAAAGAACCATTGAACCATGTTAGTAGCCATCTCTTCTGTTAATTCATAAGCTTCATCAAATGGTTTCAAAATTAATGAACCTCCAACAACAACATCAATAATAGATCTAAGGGATCCTACTAACCCATTATAAAATGTTTGAATAATCAACTAGTCTGGTAAAGCATGATGTGGACACTTCCTGAGGAGTTTTTTAAATCTTTCTCAAGCTTCATATATTTACTTAGCTTCATATTGAGTAAATGAGGTAATATCATTTCTAAGCTTAGCAATTTTTTAAGGTATAAAATACTTAGCTAAGTGTGTTAAATCTCCCCAAGTTCTATAGATGCAGGTGCTAGTGAATTTAACCACATCTTAGCTTTATCTCTTAAAGAAAAAGAAAAAACTCTTAAGTTTAACAATGTCGTTTGATACGCCATCATACTAAATGTGGCACACAGTTCTAAAAAACTAGCAAGATGTAAGATTGGATCCTTAGATAGTGTTCTCCCAAACTGATTATTTTGTACCATTTGGTTATGGCATGTTTAAGTTTAAATGAATTAGTCACTACAGTAGGTGTTTGTATACTTAAGTGAATTTCATTTGCTTTAGGGTTGAAATAGTCCCTTAAAAGTCTTTGTATATGACGATATTCATTTTCAACAATTTGATTATTAAAGTTATTTTGTGGTGTGTTCGCCATTTCTTGTAAATTATGAAGCTCTTTTTGTTTTTTGGATTTTTCTTATGGTTTGTTCTAACTCAGAATCGTAAGGTACTAAACCTTCAGATCTTGAAATACACATACAAAAGAAAAAGTTGAGAAAATAAAATTAAAATAAATCAAAACACTCAAAAATAAAATTTTATTTATTTTTATTTTTTTTCAGTTTTTAATTTTTTTTGTTATTATTATTATTATTATTATTATTATTATTTTGCTAGTGCAATATTCTCAAGAAAAAAGGAGGATTGACAAAGTATTTTCTTATTTCTATTGGATTACATCAGGAATTGACTTTAAGCCCATAACATTTTATTTTAGTTATGAATGTTCTTACTAGACAATTTTGCAAAAAGAAGTTACTAAATTCCTACTAATTATATTTCAAGGATTAAAGAAAAATGTTGATTTCTAAACTAATTTTACGTAGAAAAGTTCAATTTATGTAAAAAGTTCTTTCCCCTTACAAAGAGATCATGATCAGTGTAGGAATCAAATATTTAAAAGTTAAAATGTAGTTTTGTGAAAAATAGGAGTGTACTTATCCTTTACCCTCTTCCGAGTGCATAAAAAATATTGATTAATCTAAAGTTTAGTTCCTAAATCTTAGCTCATGCTTGATAGGTTCTAGCCTCTCCCCTCAATATTACTCACTGTGCCCTTTCTATAGGACTAATCAGTCCTTAAGTTTCAAACTATAGATCAAATTGGTTAAGGTTCTAGCCTGTCTCCCTTGAATCATTTATTTATGCTCATCAAAGCTTATCTCCCTTCTATTTGTACTAACAAATAGATTACCTTCTCACCCACTAAATTAATGTGAGTTTTATTAGTTGAGGAACCAGAGCCATCCTGGGTCATTATGGATTCACAAAAAAGTTATAACATATCAGTTGACCATATCGAATATGTAAATGAAGTACGAAGTAATGAATCATCTCAAATATGGAATAAGAGATATCTTAAATAATTATAATCCTATGTATGATTACTTCTTATTACAAGAAGAAAGATAAGAAAAACTACTCAGAATTCTTGAGGATAACACAACAAAACTTGATTTATATAAAAACCCAACTTTACATAGTAAAACAAAACTCAAACAAAAATACAAAGTACTTATCTTAGACTTCTCCCCTAGTGAATCCTTTGAAGTTCCTTTGATGACTTCTTACACAAATAAACACACCAAAACACTTTATAAAGACTCTTTCCAACACACTCACGCCACACACACACACACATATTCACGCCACACACACACACATCTACTCTCACTAACAACCCTCTTCCAACCAGCCAATAGTCTCTTTAAATAAAGCCATAAAAATCACCAAGAGTCACTTCAAGAACCTCATCAAAATTCATCCAAATTCAATGCACAAAATCTAAAATCATTTTTGTCACCTAAGCGCTAGCCTTCTAGAAGTCAAGTTTAACTACCTGGCGCCTAGGCGCCAGGTCACCTTTTCTTCCTTTGCTCCATTTGACCCCTTATCTTTCATTTTTGCTCCTCTTACTCTTAAAATCCATAACTTGTACCTAAAATAAAAAAAAAACACAAAATACCTTCTATTAAAGCGCAATAACTTTAAGAATGAGCATAACATATGTATGTGTATATATACATAGATATATATCTACATATATAGATAGATATATATATATATACATAGATATATATCTACATATATAGATAGAAGGAATTAGGGCTCTGGCGACACGGAGATGATTTAACTGATGTGGGTATTGGTTTCAAGTAGTGTGCTTGGATGGACTAATCTTTGGCAGAGGTGTTAGTGGGCGCTTGCACCACTGCCACTGTTAACTTTAGAAACTTTCTTTTTACACAGTCGTATCACGATATTATGGATGGTAATGATGAGAACCCTTTTGTACGAAAACTGGGCCGTAAATGTGGTAAGCATGCTCTTTCCTGTCGGGGAATGATACTGCTAATCTATCTGCATACTGTAAATTTACATTGGTTGGTGTGTTCCTTTATGGGCACCCGAGGATGGAATTGGTTAGAAAGTTCTTTGACAGTTTGAAATTGTTGGTTGATTGGAACATTGGTATGTTACATGGGAGCATATACTTATTCAATTGAGTTGGGAGGAGGATTATGTGTGGCTATATGTGAAGAAATACCTGAAAATTGATAACAAAAACATGAAGCTCTTGAATTGTTCTGTGGATTTTGATCGACAAACCGAACCTCTGGTTGTTCTTATATGGTTTCGATTCCCTGGTTTTAAATTACATCTATTTAATGATGAAATTTTGTTTTCTTTGAGTGTTATATTTGGGAGGCCGATGAAAAAGGACATTCCTACATTTCATTTAACTAGACCATCTCTTGCGCGAGTGCTCATTGAAAGAAATATCACACAAAATATTGGGAATGGCGTGTGGATAGGCACTGCACACAATAACTCTTGGAAAAAAGTTATTGTTGAACAACATCCTCATTATTGTTCAAATTGTTGTATGTTTGAACATCTTGTTGATAATTGCTACGTGCTACATCTAGAGTTTAAAAAAACCCCTCCTAACATGTTTGAGTAGGAGGAGATCACGTGCATAATGCGGAATTGGCTAAAAGATCCAGTGGAGAGGATGAAGAGAGGGGTGGATAATGGAGCTTTTGAAGACAATGTGAGGGTGATAGATGGAAATGCTCTGGAGCCTCCTAGGGAGGAGAATATCAAAGAATCTCAAATTAATAATGTGCTGCCAGAAGAGACTTTGTACCTAAGGGTGGAGAAGGAGGTATTGATTGTTAAACCTGCAAAAGATGATTTTGCTAGTGTAAGATAAAAGATCGAGGAGTGGCAATTCCAGAAGAGTAGAAGGAAGTAATGTATATGCTGACTAGGGCTGCAAATGAACTGAGCTGAGTCGAGTAGGGTTGTGTTCAAGCTTGAGCTTATTTATAAAATTTCAGCTCGATTCCAATCGAGCTTTGTGTCTATGTTCAAACTTAAATACTATTTAAGTTTGGTTCTTGATCATTTCATATAATGATAATTGAGTATTATCAAGCATATTAATGAGTAAATTATCGAGCTACTTAATTTATATCCAAATAATCTTTATTTAATATGACTTATTAAACGCAATAATGAGTAGTATGGTTGAACTATTTATTTTCTAAGCAAATGGGCTTTATTGAGCTTATTAATGAATTACATATTGAACTTACTAATACAAATGAGCTTTTACATGAATGAACTATTAAATGCATAACTAATAGAAACATATAAATACATTAAAACAATGAACTAAATAAACAACTTTTTTATCTTATTATATGTACTACAATTTAAAATTAAATTTAATTTAACTTAAATGAATCTTAAAGTAAGTTTTAATTGGACTTATTGACAAACTTAAATTAAGCGCTAACCCATTCTATTCATATGCACTAAAGCTATTTAACTTGAACTTTAAAAGAAATTGTTTATTGAGCTTCTTAATCAATTTATTCGTGGGCTTTAAATGATTGTGTTGGTCAATATAAATGAATCAAAAAAGGTGGTGGAGATGTTCAAATATGTTGATTTAAAGATCTTGAATTTACCGAAGTGTTTTAATTCATTCAATTAATTAATTAAAAGAACATGAAAAAGCTCCTATCAAATTAAATAATGAGTAACTAGTTAAATATATCCATTTGCAGCTCTAATTGTGAGCTTTCGGACATAAATTTTTTTACCCTCTCATTTATCGAGCGATTATTATATACAGAGAGCGCAACAGCTGCTGTACGTAATAATTAGACCTCAGTTGTATGCATTTTACTGCTAAGCGAGTAAAACCACTTGGTGAGTGGGCCAGCACTGTTGATGCTCTTGGTGGGCCATCCAATCCCTTTCCCACCCTCGCTGGACCCACTAAGCACAAGTAACGCGTATTCCCCACCATCTAGACACTCCCGAAGCTGACAGCTTCTCCATTTTCCCTGATCTTCTTCTAACCCGCGTTCATTCATCTTCTCGCGCGCATTCATTCATCTTCAACATCCTATACTTCCTTCTAATCACAATTCTTATGGCCAATCGACGAAACCCTAGACATCTTCACCTCAATATCATCTTCCAATTACTCGCCCTCCTCTCCCACTCTTCTGCTCTCTTCTCTCCTCCCGACAACCACCTCATCTCATGTGGCTCCCTTACCCCCACCACCCTCGATGACCACCGCATCTTCCTGCCCGATGCCAGTTGTCTCATCTCCGATAATCCAATCTCTATCTCCGCAGATGCTAACCCCCCTCTCCAATCCCACACATACGCTTCTCTTTACAAATCAGCTAGGGTTTTCACGTCTCCTTCCTCTTACGAGTTCCACATCAGCAACAAGGGCACACATATCGTCCGCCTTCATTTCTATCCCTTCTCCACCCACAGCCACGACCTTGCCTCTGCTCATTTCCATGTCGTGGCCTCTGGCTTCGTTTTGCTCAGCAATTTTACCGCTTCTTCCGACTCTCCGATGAAGGAGTTCATCTTGAAAGCAGACGCGGAAAAGCTCGTGATCTTCTTCGTGCCAGTGGATTCGTCCTCATTTGCGTTTGTGAACGCCATCGAAGTCATCTCTGCGCCAGCAGACCTTGTAGAAGATAGGGCAAGATTGGTTCAAGCTGACCAAGTTTTGAGTTTTGATGGGTTATCGAAATTGGCGATGGAAATCATGTTTCGGATCAATGTTGGGGGTCCAAAAGTGACACCGTTTAATGATACCCTGTGGAGGACATGGGCTCCTGATACTGAGTTTTTTTATTCAAATTCTATTGCCAAAAATGTATCTTTTAGTGGCAGGATTGTGTACCAGAGGTATGGGCCCAGCCGTGAAGTAGCACCTGACAGTGGGTATAATACTGCAAGGATTATTGATGTTGTCAATTCTTCTGAGCTAAGCTCTAGAATGACATGGAAATTCCCCGTGGATCATGGATATAAGTACCTCATTCGGTTGCACTTCTGCGATATTGCTAGCTTGGCTCTTAATGAGCTGTATTTTAATGTTTTCATCAACGGACATCTTGCATATGAAAATTTTGATATCTCCTCTGCAACTGTTCAAGTTTTGGCTTCTCCTTACTATGTGGACTTTGTTGCTGATGTGGGCATTTCAGACTTTCTGTTTGTCAGCATTGGCCCTTCCAGGTTCGTTGGTCATTCGAGGGTTGATGGGTTGCTGAATGGACTGGAAATTATGAAACTTAATAACACCGTTGGAAGCTTGGACGGTGTGCTTCCATTTGCTTTGGTTTTACATAGTTCACGAGGTGGCTTTAGCACAGTTATCCGTTCACTTATTTGTTGGTCTGCTTTTGTCATGTTGTCGGCTGTTGGGTTTATGTTAATATTGAGAAGGAGGGCTGAGTCAAGAAACCGCATTGCATGGTCTCCTTTGCCGATGGATGTTAAAATTGCAAAAGGAGGCCAATTTGCATGAGGAGAAGTCATCTTCTTCCTAAGGTTTCTCTTAGGGCCTAATAGGTCAGAGTTTGGCTACTTGATCTGTTGGTTTTGTAAGTTCCTGATAAATATCTACTTTTGTGATCTAGAAGAGTGGACTTTGTGAAAGCTAAATGCTCTGTGTAGGATGGTAAAGTCACGTTTAGCTTAGGGTGTGCCCGCACACCCCACCTAATTTTAGATTTCTGCCCCTTGCTATTTCTTTTAAAGCATATATTAATGGAAGCTATTGATTTTGTGTTTTGAATATAACTAGCAGTTTGCTGTTTAGTATTCACTTGTGGATTTAATTGAATTCATTGAGTGGTCAATTTCATACATTTGGATTTATCTGTACGATTGTTGAAGGTTAGCATTTTTGTTTTAATGCTTCCATTTTTAAGTACCCAAAAATTTAATCTTAGCAAACAAACCATTAAACTTAAGATAGCATAAACGCCTTTATTTGTCAACGTGAAAAACATTATCTTT